ACACACACACACTGCGACCTGCGCCCACCCCACCCGCCACACCCACCCACCACCCGCGCCAACCTGCAGCAGGCGCCAGTCTGGGAAGCGCTGCTCTTGCATGGGCCGCGGCTCGTCGGGTGCCATGCCAAACAGCTGGCACAGCGGGGGCAGCACCGCGGGGCGCCGGGTCTGAAGGTGGAACACCAGCTGGCAGGCAGGAGCAGGAGAGGGAAGAAAGATAGAGGGTGGACACAGAGGGTGATGGTAGGTGGGGAGGAAGCAGCTGCCAAGGCAGGCGCGCCCAGCAAAGCTGGAAAGCGCAGCAGCTCGGCAGCGGCGCATCGATCGCAGCCATCGCCGTGCCGCCACTCCCACATCACGCCGGCCCGCAGCAGCCCCAGCGCAGCGGCAGGGCCAGGGCACAGCTGTGGCGGCTCTCGATTCTCTGCCCCTGCCACCTGCCACCTGCCGCCACTCGCAGCGGCAGGCCGGCTTCTCTGCGGGTCCGCGCCGGGGCTGCAGGCTCAGCTCACCAGCAGTGTGAGCGCAAAGCTGTTGAGGGTGCCGTTGGTAGAGTCGTTGACGTCGTGCTGCCGGGCCCACAGCTTGAGCAGGCGCACGAGCGCGCCAAAGCGCCAGTCGTACTGCACGGCACGGCGCGGGCGTACCGCGGCACGGCTGGAAAGCAGGGCGCGGGCGACCAGGCGAGGCGGCCTGCTGCCTGCTGCCTGCCCTGCCCCCGCGGCACACCTCCCAGCTCTCCCTGCCCCAGTCAGCGCCACAGCGATCCGCAAGCAACAAAACAAAAACGTGGGGCCAGCGCCGCGCCCAGATCGCGCCGCCTGCCAACGACACGGGCAGCCACACTGCCACGCTGCAACGCTGCCACACTGCCACACTGCCCGCCCGCCCCAGGCCCCCCACCTGCGCCAGCAGGCCCATCACCGTCGACTTGAACAGCGCGTGGCTGCCACCGATGCCGACGTCAAAGTCCAGGCCTGCGGGCGTGAGGGCGGGCGGCTGCATTGAGGTGGGCGGGTGCGCCGGACTGGGGCCGGGGACATGTGCGCCACAGCCTCTCCCCCACAAGCTCTCCCAGCCCTGGCCCGCGCGTAGCCCCTTCCCTGCAGCACACCGGCCTCCCGACAGGCCCCTCCCAGCAGCCGGCCCTCCCAGCAGCGTCGCCCTCCCCGCAGCGCCCCCCAGCAGCCTCCCGCCCCCCACCCGAGATGTCCCGGAACTTGAGGATGGGCACCCGGGCGTGCAGGATGCGGTCCACCTGCCCCAGCGACAGCCGCTTGGCCTGGATGCGGGAGGCCAGGGCCTGCGCCGGCGGAGAGACAACCAGCGGCACGCGGCGTGGGCGACGGCGGCATGGGAAGCGCCTCCACCTCGACGGTCTGCTGCTGGGTGCCGGACGGGTGGCACTGTTCGCCACAGCACGGCGCTGCGCACTGCACCCCACGCCGCCGGCGCATTGGGCAGGCGGTACTGTGTGGTATCTTGCGGTACCACGTGGTACCAGGGGCCACAGGCGCGGGGCTCACCCTTAGGAAGCGGACCTTCATCTCCCGCTCCATTCCGTCCACAGTCACCTGCTGCAGCCGCCCAGACGCATCCTCCCTGCCGCGCGCACACGGGCAGGCAGGGGGGCAGGCGGGAGGGCAGGTGGCTGGGTGAGAAGGGCTGGCCGCCTGGCCGCGAGCAAGGGAACACAGCTGGCAGCCGGTGGCAGCGGCTGGGGACAGGAGCTCAGCGGGTTGGCAGGGCAGCGCAGCGCAAGAGCGACGCCAAGCCGGGGCAGGGCAGGCGCAAGGCAGGGTGACAGTGGGGCAGGGGTGGGGCAGGGAGGGGGCTGGGCAGGCCCCCACCAGCTGGCGTCGCCCTCTATGCTCAGGTCCAGGTCGCCCTGTGGGGTGTACAGCCCGCTCACAAACGACCCTGCGCTCGCGGAGGGGGACGCGGGGCAGATTGAGGGGAGACGAGGCAGAGGGGAAGCGGCGGGAGAGAGGCGATACTAAAGGTGAGATGCCGAGGCAGGCAGGCAGGCAGTCCAGGCACAGCATCACACAGCCAGGCCGCGGCGCAGCCACCCCGCCTGCTCGCCCACCCACCCGCCCACCGTCCAGCGGGGCCAGGCCGCCAGCCCCTCATGGGAGCTTGTGGCAGCAAACCAGGCAGCCACCCAAACGACCACCCCAGCAAGCAACAGTGAGGCCAGGGCGTCAGTCATCTCATGAGAGCTTGCGGCAGCCAACCACCCAACCAGCCACCCAAGCAAGTCAGCCAGCCAGCCAGGGCCCACCGTAGGGCTCCA